TTAAATCTGTAGTTTGTTTGAGACCCGTGAGGTCTCTGACCCCAGGAGGGTTTAAATCTATAGTTTGTTTGAGACCCGTGAGGTCTCTGACCCCAGGAGGGTTTAAATCTATAGTTTGTTTGAGACCCGTGAGGTCTCTGCACGTCCCAAGGACACCAGGAGGGGTTTGCGGCCCCAGGAGCTGAGGGAGTGAATTGGGCTCCACCTGGGGATCCCAGCACGGAGCAGGATTGATGGCCCAAGGTCAGAGCCAACAAAGCCCCTTCTGTCCTGCTGCTCAGGGCAGGTGACACCAGTGGGTTTGTTAACTGGGGAGGCAGCCAAGGGGGCAAGAAAGGTCAGAATTTTACCTGAAGAGGTAAAAAGTGACCTGCTAGGATGGGATGTGTGAGCAGGGGCGGGAAACTGACAGGGTCATGGGGAGCGTGGGAGGGGCTGTGAGCCCTGGAGTGCCCAGGGAGTGGGGACACGGGAGGGGACTTTGGGAATAGGGAATAGAAACCTTATTCACCTGCCTATGGGTGTGCCTGCTTGTTTAGGTCACCCATTCCTGCAGGAATGTGAATAAACTGTGCTTTGTTGGAGGGTCTGTGTGGGCCTGTTCATTGGTGCCACAAACGTTTCTGCACACTCCTATGTGGTGCTGCTTCACCTTCCCCTTCTTTGGGTTCTTCCTCATGGTGCTGCTGTGCCTCTTACCTTTGTTGCCCAGCACCTGTGTGTGGCATTTCCACCCGTGCGTGTCACTCAAGCCTGTCACTGTTCTCCCTGTCTCCCAGGCCTGTGTCTTAACAGCTTGTGTCCAACAAACCAGTCACTGACCTGAAGCTACTAATAGCTGGCCCTAGCGTGTGTTTCTTCCTCTGTAGCACAGTTCCTGGGCTTGGCCTCTTTCATGCCTCCTCCAGGGTGAGTTATTTCAGATCTCTGCCCACACTTCTGAAGCAGCCTGTGCTGGGAGCTGTGGGAGGGGTTGTCCTTTGTCAACCCATCACACAAGTGTAGCAACTCAGAAGGGAGGTTTCCCTTTTTAATGACAGGGATCTTTTCTGGGTGTCTTTAGAAATCATAGAAACGTTAGCTCCAAGATGTATGGGGAAATTTGCAGGAGTTTGACAACCTTGTGCTGCAGCGCGTTGGCTGAGGCAGCTGATAATTTTTTGTATTCAGTTCTGTGTTGTGAGCGGTTGTCATCTCTCTTGACTCTGACAAAACAAACAGTAAAGAAGATGGGATAGCAGAAGGCTTTCTGTTGGTTTTTCTTTTTAGGATGCAAAGATTGGTATTCAGTCAACATCTCATCTATGGCAGCCATTACCATGTATTTACTGACTGCCCCTGAGTGGTCATTTGGCTGCCCATCAGTTTCCCTTTCTTACTGGTCCTTATGAAAAGAGACTGCCTCTTTTTTATTTGTTTGGTTTTTTTTTCTGTTTTCTGCGAAATTGTTCTAGGACCAAGGGTCTGCACAGGCAGACTATGGGGGCTGGAATTTCTAGGGAAGCAAAGAGTGAGGAAAAGCCTCCTAACTGGCAGTGGGTTGTCTGTGTGAGGGCTGACTGGTTTTGTGAGCCTAAAGTGTTATGATAATGTAATGATCTGTAAGAACAGAACCCTGAACACAAAGAAGATGGCTAGCCACCTTCCCTGTTCTACAAGAAATCCTTCAAATGGTTCTCTTCAAATACACACCTACTTAAGTGCCTCCTGAAAGAGTGATTATCATCATCTCCTCTCAGACCTACCTTGAGCCCACCAGAGTTGTTCTGTTAATATGTAACCCCTTTTTCCCTTTGCTCAGGTGGTCTTTGGGTTTTGTCAGTAGGCTTTTTCATTTGAACAAATTTACTCTTTTTCCCTTTGGCACTTTCCCCTGCCAATATTTGATCTGTATATGATTATGGAATCTCACTTGCTCCCATATCCTGACCTCCCCAAGGTACAGGCCTGCAAGGCTCTCTGGTTTGAGCCGGCGATGCTGAGCTGGGTGAGAACAGAGCAAATGCCTGCAGAGCCCCTCACTGCTCACTGCAATCAGGTCTTCACCTGTGGGAGCCTGTGTATTTATAGCCTTGTCACAGAACATCATAATTAGATGTGCCCATAAGGCAGCCACAACCCATAGCGTTGTTACAGCTCGGGGACCCCATTATTAGTACTGTGTCATCAGAGGGTTGGGCTGCAAACAGATAACCTAATATAGCAGTACTTTGGGGAATTAAGCCACAGTTCCATTTTGGGGTGATTAGTTTTTCATCTGATGCTAATGCAATGTTCTGTGTTGTTGCCCTGAAGACCAGAGTTGTCTTTTTTTCTCCCAGAACAGGTGCAGTTTCCACATCAACAAAATCGAAGCTGCTCAGGAGGAACCAGCACTATTTGATCCCTGTAAACTGCTGGTGTTCAATCTCCATGAACTGTTCTGTCACTGGACTGGAATGAGACTGCAATAGTAATTGAAAGATTTGTTTTATGATCTTCATTCCTGCCAACAAAAATAAAAGGTTTGAGTTTCTCTCAGACAGTCTGTTCAGTTGCAGAGCTAAACAGTGGTTTGTCCATTAACATTTGTTTTAAGCCACTGAAGATCTTCATTTGCCTCAAACAGCCAAATTAGAGATAAAGCTGTCAGCTCATAACTGAAATTTGGCTCCTTATTTCCTTCCCTTGAGCCACCTAGTACCCCACGAATTTTAGTTGGAGGTAACAGAGAGGGACACAGGGGTGTTGAGTTCGTGGGAGTTGACTCAGGCTGAGTAAAAGGTATTAATTAAATACGTGTTTAATTATGAAACTATCAAGCTGATTACTTCTGGTTCAGTGCTGTGTCATTTCAAAGATAT